CCCGAGGGATGGGGGCCTTCGCGGCCCCGCGCGCCGCTGGCCCCTCGGTGGTCAGGTGCCGGCGGCCTCCGCCGGGCCTGTGCGTTGAGGGTTCCCCCGGTGGGGCGACCTAGGCTCGCCCCCTCCTGCCCCGACGGCCGAGTGCCCCCCCATCGGGGGGGAGTGGGCTCGAGCCGGACGGCCCGCTAGGCTCAGGGCGTGGCCCTGGGGCATCCCCGGGCCCCGGGATCCTTGATCACGTGGTGCAGTCAGCCGCCGGCCTAGCGGGGGGACCAGCTCCCGGTAGCCCGAGGCTTCCCAGACTGGGTGGCTCCGGTGCCTGCTTATCCTAGTCATCTGGGAGACGAGCTGGATGGGGACGGCGCGAGGCTTAGTCTCCCGGACTTTAGGACAGGCTAGGCCTAACTTCGCTGGAGAATATTCAGGGTGTCTGCGTGAGATAGAGAAGTCTCCCCCCAGTGCTCTTAAGGGTCATGATAAGTTGTTGTGTTGAGAGCTTTGCATTATTACCCAATTTAATTCTCCCTTTCCAGTACTTCGTCTGGCCGACATTAAAAAAAAAAAAAAAAAAAAAGAGGCAATGTTATGAAGAGGATTCCAATCCGGGTTAGAGTGCAGCCGAAGAAGATGCTTTTTTTTTTCCTTCCTGGTGATAGAGCTTGAAAGTTTTTGTTTTAACTTTTGATGTTTCTTTTAAAATTGAGGAACTCAATGAAAGGCCATTGAAGATGAGGAATTGTCTCATAACCACCATTTTTACACTCCTTGTTAAAAATCGTTGCCCATTGGGTGGGTGAGGCCCTGACTTCTGCAGTCATAGCTAAGTTTAGAAATTTCATGTTTCACGAGTAAGAGTGAATAGATGCTCCTCAATGTGGATTTTTTTTTTTTTTCTAGTCCTGGAATTCAGACTGAGGGATTCCTGGTGCTGGTGGGTTCTCGACCACCGGGCTGCATCCCTAGCTTCAGATGGAGAACTCTGACTAGGTTGGAAAGGTGGACACTTCACGGTCATTTATCACCGGCCCGGCTGTCAGTTGCTTTGGCTCTTAGATTTTGCTAGTCATTACTCATTGCCGTGATAAATACCTGAATGGCACAAGGGAGGAAGGACTTATTTTGGCTGATGGCTTCCTTCCTGGTCACAGCTGCCTTTGCTTTTGGGTGGGTGGGGGAAGTCTGGTAAAATCGTGGGGGAGGGAGTTTGAAGGAAAAAAGCTGATTCCCCTCTTGCCAGCCAGGGAGCAGGCAGGAGCAGGACCTCTGTGGCATGCCTCCAGTGACCGGCTCCCCTCCCTGTATGCCATCATTTTGTGAATCCTTTGAGAGATTCATCTGTTGATGGGGTCGGAGCCTTTAGGATCCTCTCCGTGATCAGATCCATGCACTGGGGACCAAGCCTTTGATACCCCTTTGTGTGGTGATACCACATTTTACTTAGTAGGTATCTGATAGACATTTGAGCTGCTTCCTCCTTTCAGCTGATCTTAAATAATGTCTGTTGAACATTCATGTACAGGGTATGGATTTCATTTTGGGATCATTTGGCATATTTCTTCGCTCAGCAATTTGGTTCAATGTTACATAATCTAAACCATTTTACATTTTTAAGAATTTGTTTATTTTTATTTTGTTAGTGCTTTACCTGTATGGATGTCTGTGTGAGGATGTTGGATCCTGGGGTTACAGGTGGTTGTGAGCTGCCATGTAGGTGCTGGGAATTGAACCCAGGTCCTCTAGTAGAGCAATCAGTACTCTTAACCGCTGAGCCATCTCTCAGCCCACCATTTTACACTTACAGCAGCAGTGTATGACGATTCTGGTTTCTCCACAACCTAGTTACTGCCTGTCTTTTCACGAGTAGGCATATGGGTGTGCACCCATCTGTGCGTGTGAATGCACATGCCATCGTGTGCATTGTGGGGGTCAGAAGACAGCTTTGAGGAGTGGGCTTTCTCCTTCCACCTTGCTTTGAGGTAGGGTCTCTTGTTTCTGCCTCTGTGCTGGGCGTTCCAAGCTAGCTGGCCCAAAAGCTTCCCAGCTCTGGAGCAGTCTTCTGTCTCAGCATGGCCCCTGGCCACACTGCTGCTAGGATTACAGATGTGCACCCCCACACTGTGCTTTCTGTGTGGGTTCAAGGCAGTGCTGTCAGGGTTACCCACTAAACTCTCCTCCTGAGCCCACCCCTCACTCCGGCTGGAGCTTTAATCTGGGCATGCCGGCCAAGTGCCCTGCCACTGAGCTGCAGCTGTCTGTAGAAGACAGCGGTTTTCCTGGACTCTGTGTTTTCCTAATGATGTCAAGTATCTTCCACGTGGTTTTGTGGGGAGGGGCTGTTTATATATCTTTTTTTAAAAATTAGAATTTTTTTTTGTCTTTTTAAAAAACTGGATTATTAGTTGAGTTTTAGGCATTCCTTACATATTCTAGATATGATTCTCTTATGAAGTAGGTGATTTGCAAATGTGTCTGCCTGTCTCTTAGGTTGTCACCTGCTCTTTTTGATGATATTGTTATAGAAAAGAAGATTTTAATGCAGGTTCAGTGTATCTTCTTTTTTCTGAGTTCTATAGCTTTGTTAGTTAGGCCTGTGGTCATTTGGGTTAACTCTGGTGTAGGAAGAGGTCCAGTGGCTTCTCATGTTGGTGAGTACTTGTTGCAGCGCGGCCCTTCCCTGCTGGTTCCCTGCTGGTTCCTCGAGGCCCTTACATATAGACTTGGGGAGTTTGTTTGCTTTGGATCTTACTGTGCAGTTCAGACTGGCCTGGAATTTACTAACCACTTCAGCCTCCTGAATGCTGAGGTTATAGGTATGTGCCACTGTGCTGACGAGTGATCCTAATTAGTCTTATCAATTAAAACCAGGAGTCAGACATTGGGGTAATAACCTGAAAGGTCAGAGCAGCAGCCCCTGGAGACTTCTTATCTCTACCAATCTTCAGACCAAATGAGCCTGAGATCCTGTTTCCAACTGCCTTATATTTCTGTCTCCACCTCCCAAATGCTGGGATTAAGAGTGTGAGCTACCACCACCTGGCCTCTATGGTTAACTAGTGGCTAGCTCCACCCTCTGATCTCCAGGCAAGCTGTGTTTGTCAAAACACAAATGAAATATCACACAACACTGTGCCCAGTTGGTTTTAAAATTTTGTGAAAATTCAGAATAGCATTACTTGAGGGAAGTTGATTGGTCTGAGAGAAACATGAAAATGGGTTTTATGGTTGGGAGACCCTATAAGAACAACTGTTCTATTCTCGTGTCAGCTGTGCTAATTTAATGGTTTACAAAAGATAACCATGCCAGAGCCTGGGTTAGAGAGATGCTCAGTGGTTAAGAGGACCCGGGTTCAGTTCTCAGTGCCACATGGTTGTTCATACTGTCTGTTCTCTAGTTCAAGAGGAATTTCATACCTTCTTCTGACCTCTGTAGGCACTGAACCTACATGGCCCACAGACACACATGCAGGCAAAACACTCACACAGATAAAATAAAAAGTAAAACAGACACACATGCAGGCAAAACACTCACACAGATAAAATAAAAAGTAAATAAATATTAAAAAATATGTGCGTATTTGTCTAAACATGGATGTAATTATTTTAACACAAGAGAATGTGGATGTCCAGATTGTTTAATTTTCTTGCATAAATTGTTGTGTATTTTGTGAAGTTATTACCAGACTATATTCCTTCCCATTAGGAAATGAAAATTTTGTAAAGTCTGTAAGGGGGAGTATCATGATTTAGAAAAGGGAGGAATTGAATTGTATTGATTAGAGTTGCCAAACTGTTGTGTGTTCTACTTTGTTCCTGATTTTCTGTATTTTCTTTTCTTGCAGCAAAGTATCCAGAGATAAAATCCTTGATGAAACCTGACCGCAACCTCATCTGGATCATAACTCTGATGCTTCTCGTCCAGCTGGCTTCACTTTACTTAGTGAAAGACTTGGACTGGAAATGGGTTATATTTTGGTCCTATGTCTTTGGTAGCTGCCTTAACCATTCAATGACTCTGGGGATCCATGAGATTTCCCACAATTTCCCCTTTGGCCACCACAAGGCGATGTGGAACCGCTGGTTTGGAATATTTGCTAACCTCCCTTTGGGAGTTCCATACTCGATTTCTTTTAAGAGATACCACATGGATCACCATCGATACCTTGGAGCTGATGGCATTGATGTGGACATTCCTACTGACTTTGAGGGCTGGTTCTTCTGCACCACTTTTAGGAAGCTGGTCTGGGTTATCCTTCAGCCTCTCTTTTATGCTTTTAGACCCCTATTCATCAATCCCAAACCAATTACTTATCTGGAAATCATCAATACTGTGACCCAGATCATTTTTGACATTATAATTTACTATGTTTTTGGAATTAAATCTTTAGTCTACATGTTGGCAGCCTCCCTGCTTGGCCTGGGTTTGCACCCAATTTCTGGGCATTTTATAGCCGAACATTATATGTTCTTAAAGGGACATGAAACATACTCATATTATGGACCTCTGAATTTACTGACCTTCAATGTGGGCTACCATAATGAACACCATGACTTCCCCAACGTTCCTGGGAAAAACCTGCCCCTGGTAAGTGAAGGACTTGATGTTTTGTTTCTGATGATGTTATAATCAAATTAGTCGTGGCTTGCTTATTGTAAGAGGAATCTAATACGTTTTGTCAGTTAAAAAAAAGGAGAACATGTATCCTTTGTCTGCCAGCCTAACTACTGAGGATTCGGATTCTCTGTTTTGGGTCTTTAGACTTAGTGGTTATGCTTAAGAGTTCAGAAGTGTTGGGGCATGTGCAAAATCTCTTACCTGATAAACTACCTCAGAATTAGAAAACACTTGCTCTGTGCAGGAAACATCAGTTGATGGAACATTCACCACTGTCAGGCTGTTACAGTTGGCTAAGGTGTGTTGCTCACGTGACACACAGGTGAGGTGGCCTGCATCACTGATCTGTCGAGTGGACAGCATCACTGTCCATGCTGTTCCCCTTCCCTGGCAGGGACTCTGCACAGTAGACCTTTAGTGTATTATGTGTGGAGTAAACAAAAGAAGACAGAACCGCCTTCATTCTTTCCATCTTTGCCAAAACCAACCAGTCTGTCAACCACAATTGTGTTCTTGCTAAGCCTTCTTACCAGCCTTTCCATCTTCAAAGTGAGTAGCCTAACGCTTGGGAGACAGGCAAGAGGATCTCTGTGAGTTCGAAGCCAGCTTGGTCTACAGAGCAAGTTCTAGGATAGCTAGTGTGTTACACAGAGAAACCCTGTCTCGACAAAAAGCAAACAAAAAAAATGAGCAGTTCTGTTAGGGAAAAAAAAAAAGAAAAAACTTGCATAATTCTAAGAAAATGTTAGTACATATGAAAAATAGTTTTTCTTTACTTTAAAAAAAGCTATGATGCCGGGCGTGGTGGCGCACGCCTTTAATCCCAGCACTTGGGAGGCAGAGCCAGGCGGATCTTTGTGAGTTCGAGGCCAGCCTGGGCTACCAAGTGAGCTCCAGGAAAGGCGCAAAGCTACACAGAGAAACCCTGTCTCGAAAAAAAAAAAAAAACAAAAACAAAAAAAAACAAAAAAAAAACAACAACAACAAAAAAAAAAGCTATGATGTATATAAGGGAACCCTAATAGATACTTCACGATGTCATACTCACCCACTCAAATTTTTAAACACTGTTGAAAAATTGCATACAACATAACAGTCAATTGCAGCATGCAATTATTTCTTTGGATCTGGTTAAGAAAAGACTAAATAATAGTTTTGTTTGTAGAACAAGCGTCCTTTGGAAATAAGTGTTGCAGTATCCAGAACTGAAATACAAGGTTAAGTTGGCACAGCCAAGGAAAAAAGCAAAGTGTGCCTCTGTTACCTATACAACACACATGGGAAGTCAGTGTGTCAGAAGGCTAATATACCTACAGAGCATACATGGAAATTAAGTGTGTCAGAGGGCTAATATATACACAGCATACATGGAAATTAAGTGTGTCAGAAGGCTGATACCTACACAGCACACATGGAAATTAAGTGTGTCAGAGGGCTAATATATACACAGCATACATGGAAATTAAGTGTGTCAGAGGGCTGATACCTACACAGCACACATGGAAAGTCAGTGTGTCAGAGGGCTAATTGGGAACAAGTGAAGGGCACATGAAGGTTCCTTTTTTGTCCTCTCAGCTCTTCAGTTGTGGAGGAAGCAGCACCAGTCTCTGGAGAAGCTTTGAACTGGGGTGCAGGCGGCCTTAGTCCCTGCCCAGTGCCGTGTGCTGGTGTACGAGCAGACACAGTGTGGCAGCCCATGTTTCCCTCTTCTGTGACTAGGGAGCTGAGTTTATTTTTTTAGGGAACTCTTATTTTTTTTTTTAAGAATCATAATTTAAGGAAAAGAATCAGTCAACCATTAAGCAAAAAATTTTCCCAAAATAAACTATGTATGTGTATTTTTCTGGAACTGTCCCAAAATTAAAAACTTAATTTAGTTCAGGCGGTACTTACTTAAAGCCCACGGCACATCAGTGACTACTCACTTGCTGCTCTTCCTTGGCTTCTCCTTACTCTTGTTAAATTAATACACTGGGAACAGCCCTACTGCCTTTCCTGTTCTTCCTAAGATGTCTGTCTATAAGAAATTCTTTATTCAATAACTACCTGACATTTATTATTACACAGTCCCCATGTATGTTTAGTATTTTAACTTTTAAAAGGTTTTTATGTCATTTTTAATGAGTTTTGCTGCTCACAGCATTTTTTTTTTAATTTTAATTCTTATTTAATGGGTATGTATGTTTGCAAGTATGTATGTGTACCATGAACATGCCTATTGCCCTCAAAGGCTAAGAGAGTGCTGGAGCCCCTGGAACTGGAATTACAGGCAGTTGTGAGCCACCATATGGGTGCTGGGAACTCCGCACAGGTCCCCTGGAAGAGCTGCCGGTGTGCCCAGCCACTGAGCCATCTCTCTAGCTCCAACACAAAACTTCTGTTGTTTTGTTTTTCAAGGCAGAGTATCTCTGTATAACAGGCCTGGCTGTCCTGGAACTCACTCTGTAGACCAGGCTGACCTCGAACTCACAGAGATCTGCCTGCCTCTGCCTCCCAAGTGCTGGGATTAAAGGAATGTACCACCACACCTGGCCAAAGCATTTTTTAAGCATTCATTTTTTTCAGTTTGTTTGTAATTTTATAAGAATCACAGCCATCATATGTCAGTATGTGAATTGGCCACTGCTGACAAATTCCTTAATTCTTAGTATTAAGGATTTGAGTGTTTTTATATCTATAATATCTGCAGTTCATCGACTTCCTGTGTTAATGGTGATCATTAGTGCCCTTTCAGTCTCGGGACTCCAGTGCTTGTCCAGGCTCTGAACCGCCTTCATCATTTTATGATTTGGAACGCTAGCATCTTTCTGTTCCAGCTGTTAACTAAACTGATAAACTGGCTTTGCCCTAAGTTCAGTGTGGATTATGGTGTCGCTGTTTATATGCCTGTGATCTGTAGACCGTCTTGTTTCGTGAAGAACTGCGGGCTGTCTGAAGGAGCATTAGTCAGACCCTCACCTGTCATCTTGAGGCCTCGGTAACACTCACGGTTCACCTTGCTGTGTTTTTTCACTTCCAGGTGAGGAAGATAGCGGCTGAGTATTACGATAATCTCCCCCAGTACAACTCCTGGATCAAAGTACTGTATGACTTTGTGATGGATGACACAATAAGCCCCTATTCACGGATGAAGAGGCCCCCAAAAGGGAACGAGATTCTGGAGTAAATATCACAGCCAACTCTTCGTCATAGCTGAGAAAGTGGAATTTTTTTCTTGCTAAGCTAAGATCAGTGATGCCCGGAAGCTGCACTGGTGTAATTTCCCACTAGGATCCATGGCGTCAAAGGTCCCTCAGCCTTCAGACGGCCGACTCTCACGCTCGCTTGCCCGCGCTCAAGCATTGTATTACTGTTACTAAGGGTGTCTCCACCTGTCTGTCAAACTGTAAGCATATCATAAAATGCTTATTATGTTATTTTTCACTATAAAGTTTTACTTTATTAAAACACCTAATAAACTGAACTGTTAATCACAGTATATTAATATTCATTGCATTTTTGTATTGCACTAACTATATGCTATAGTTACCAGGGTATTGGGGGAACTAAGATTTCGTTCAGAAATTTTAAGAGCTGACTTGAGCTCATATAGTATTGTGTAACTTTGCTCTGAATTCAAACATTTCTTTCTGGAGGGAAAAGGGAGGCTTATAAGACTGAGGAAGCCGATAACATTCTCCACGACAAAGTCCCTCCTCAAGGTTGTGTAGGAAGTAAGGCTTTCCGGAGGAGCTAGCTGTCTGTGAGTCCTGCAGGGAGCGAGTGCCAAGGGTTCCAGCCCTGTGGCTTTTGTGACTTTGTCACCCATGCCGGGCATTTCATTGATGACTGCCTTGGAGTTGCTAATTAAGTAACCCAGATAAGCTCACAGGTTCACTAAGCTGGACTCTGGTATGCAAACTGGCGTTAACAAACCCTTGTTCTTTCTGCCTGGGAAAGTCCTATAATAAGCATAAAGGTTGAGATGGAAATTTCTTTCTCTGTAAATTACTGAATTCGTGTTTGCTTGTTTTTTTGTTTGTTTGTTTTTTGAGTCAGGGTTTCCCTGTATAGCCTTGGCTGTCCTGAAACTCTGTAGACCAGGCTGGCCTCGAACTCATAGAGACTCACCTGCCTTTGTCTGCTGGGTGCTGGGATTAAAGGCGTGCACCAATCAGCAAGTTATTTATTCGTAATTTTTACTATTATCCATGTCACCTAAAGTAGACGCTGCTGGATCCTGAATAAAGTCTTTACTAAATTTAACCACGCCCATGTGCCACTTCCTTCCTCTTAGAGCTGTGTTGACTCTCACATCGGAAACAGACTATGCTCGTGCACTGCTGTGGACACACTGGGTTGGTGGTGTCGGTCTCTATAGCTAACATCCTGTGTTTCAAGGCCAGCAGTCCCAGTTACCTCAAAAGTGTCCCTGGAGAAAACGCAGTGTAATACGGGAAGATGCTTTCAGGATGTCAGCTGTATTGTTAAGGGATGCCCAGACAGCTGAACAGAGTCCTCTTTGGGACTGGCAAGCCTTGACAGCCCCAGTGTCACCCCTAAAGTGCCCTTTCTCCCTTTCTGACCTCACCTGGAGGAACTAACTCCTGCCACCCCGTCCATTCTTCAAGAGTCACCAAGCGGGGCTGTAGGAAGGCTGGGCCCTGGCACCTGCAGAGGCCTGAGAGGTGCTTCCGTGGCATCACCGCAGTTCTCGAATCGGTCTTGGCTTATGCCAGTCTTCCCTGCTCCAGCCCTGTCCCACAGCAGGTCAGGAGCCACTTTTCTGTGACCAGGTCCCTCACGGCTCCAAGATTATATAATGTGCCGTTGCTTCCCCTGAGGTGGTAACTCCTTAAAGGGAGAGCAGGACGGACTCCTCACTTCACCAACAGAACGGGTCCAGTGCTGGCTAGACTGCAGCCTTGGTTAACGGAATGAGACTCCCGAGTTCTGGAATTTTCTTGAGCTGTATTACACAAAGGCAGCATTTGTGTAACCTTTAGATAAATGCAATATATTTAAAACAAGGGACATTTATTGAGAATCCTCTTCAGTGTTTGCCAGCTATCCATTGTCTTTAATCTATTCTTGTTTGCGGAGATGGAAACGGGATGGAGCCCAGGGACCCAAGCGTGCTAGGCAAGTACCACTGAGATGCTCCCCCACCTCCAACACTGCCTTACATCTCAGCATCTCTGTGTGTATGTCTGTATACGCATAGAGAGATGTACATGTATACACAGCTATGTATGTGTGTGTACACATAGTCTGTCTCTATACATAGAACCAATTCATTTTGTGGATAAAAACTGAAGCTGAAAGAGATTCATTACTGGTCCATGATGCTTTAGGATCCTATCTTGACTTCCCCCATAGTAATGGACCGGAGCCTGGAGCTGCAAGCCAAATGAACCCTTTCTCTTCTGTGTGGCTTTTGGTCTGGACAGCAACAGAGATAAAGCTAGGGTGATGTGCCACAGTACGAGGCTTAAATATGACACAGTGTTTAAATCCGCAGCGAAGGCGCACTAGTTCATTTGTTCATTCCACAGATTCCTCACCAGGCCTTACGCGAGGCAGTAAGAAGAAAAGACAGCATGGTGCCAGGTGGGCACACGTCCTGCTCAGCAGAATTCACACAGGCAGGACTGTCAGCATGTGGCCTGAAGTGGCGGAGGATGCTTATCTGCCCTCGCTTCTTCCAGACCTGGTGCAGACACGGTTCTAGTCCATGTCAGCCAGATGGGCAACTTATCTCTGCTGTTGAGCTCAGTTCACAGGTGAGCGGCCCGAGGCCACATGATAACAGAGTGCTGTGCCAACTGTCAAAGCCCACCTCTTATTAGTCCACGTGCTGTGAACTTGAAAGACTTGTTTGTTTGTTTGTTTGGACAAGGGGTATTTTGTTTCTTGTCAGGGAAAACAGGAGCTGTTGTCGTTTGGAATGAAAGAAGAAGTCTTAGGTCCTAAGGTTAAGGATGACCCGGAGAAAATGGAAGAGTGTAACAAGCCGGGAAAATGTTCCCAGCGTCAGCACAGCCGAGCCTCTGGCAAGGGTGCCTCAGACTGTAAAGGATGACAGCCACTTGAAGTGAGAGGCCTAGAGCTGGGCAGCCCTGCCAGGGCATGGTGGGCAGGTCCTGCCTCGGGAAGGGGTAGGATTTGACCAGAAGTGGCTCTACTGGTCAGATCGGTGCGTTCTTTGAAATGTCAGTGGCAGTATGGCAGAGCAAACAACGGGGATCCTCATCCCAATATAAAAGCTTAACTTGTGCCCAAATCAGTCCCATCTGGCAGACGGCTCAGGAAGCCAGTAATACCTCCAGGGAAGGTTCCAGGTGCTGAGAATCCCTGGGGGTCAGAAGGGGATGCCTCTCGAAGGGTGCATGCATGCGTGTTGCATGTGTGTGTGTGTGTGTGCATGTTGGGACCCAGAGATACAAGGGTGAGGGCAGAGTGTTGGGGGGGGTAGCTGGACAGAACCTTCTGGAAATACAGGTTGGGACCACAGAGATATGAGATGCTTTTGTAGTGAAGCATGGGTTAATGGTGACCAGGCACACATCACTGTGCATACAGTCCTCTGTAAAGGGATAAATGGATGCTTTGTGAGCGAAGCCTGCAAGAATGGACATGCCCTCTCTGGGATGTTCCTAAGCCTGCTGGTCAGCAATTTCTATTCCAAGGAGAGTCTCCTTAATCCCTCTCCTGTGTTAGGTAATTCTCAAAAGCTGCTTTTTCTGGCCATTGGAGAGGGTTCACTAAGACCTGAGTGACATTTCCTTTGTCCAGTTCGTGACTTGAGCCTCACATTTCCATAAGGGAGTAACTAGGATTTCTTCCGGCATGAGTGGGTGTATCCTGTACACTATGAACGGTAGTCTCCGTGGTGGCGATAAGCACATAGTCAGAATCTGCATTTCCTTTACAGGCTGGGAAGTCAGTTCATTCCTGTTGTCTTCTTCAGAGAAAACACTTCATGTCAGCTTTCCAGGGTTTGAACACATGCCGATTCAACAGCACCATGAGAATGCGGAATCCCCAGAGCCTTTCAACGGCAGTAATTGGGAAGTATTATGCTTCCATGGCCAGTCAAAAAACTTTGAAGGTTCCCAGGGTAGGTTCTTTACCCATCACTGCCTTCCAGAGTGGGTCCCAGTTTCAGGGCTCGGGGTAGTAGGCTTTTGTGCGTAGCTACTGTCCCATTTCATCGCCCCTCAGGACCATGGACTGCCAAGAAGCCCGTGCATCGTTTATGGGATTTTTCATAGAGATTTTGATCATAAACCAGTGTGGGGGTTCATTCTACTATGTCCCCACCCCACGTTAAAGACTCAGAATTGAAAATAACTGCAGGGTCTCGTTCAATGCCGCCATCCTTCAAGTGCATAAATGTAATTTTTCATCATCTGTCACCTCAGTAATAGATAAAAACAAGAGAACCCACCAAACATCAAGGTCAAAGAAACAATTGCCCCAGTCCTGGAAGGCATCAGGTTCTGGGTCCCCGCTGCATGGCGGCTGTCAGCTTCCATCATCTCCTTCTCTCAGAGCCCCCCATTCTCATACTTGATCCTGGCCCAGTTACAGGCCGCAACACAAGTCTTTGGCTGCCTTAAAGGAATCTGCAGCCCTTTGCTTCCCTGGGGTAGAAAGGAAGATAAAGAAGTTTCTAGAAGCCCCCTCCCCCCTATACATACACACACCCCTGGTCTCTTTAAAAGTAAGCTGGCTCTTAGCTTACTACCCTGGAGTCCTGATTCTGTGTGGATGCTTAGACAGGCCACCATGGCTGAGAGTGCCGGAAGGGTTCCTCAGTTTACCCGTACGGGCACCACGTCTGTGCATTCTGTTTGTTCCTATGTTAATTCCTTTTTAAAAAAAGTCAACACTAGTGCAATCTTGTCCTGGGAAAATGGCATCCTTCCAGTTCGCAAGATCATCACCACTGAATACACCTAATAGAAAAAACATTGTCTGGTCTTCTTTGAAGGAGAAGGACACTGTGATGCGAAGATATTAGGTAACTTCTCTTAGGTTGGTTAGCTTGGCCTCAGAGTGGTGGAAGAACCAGCTGCCCCTGGTAATTTGAACCATTCTTAGTCTAAATCCAAGCCCTTGCCCCCACCCAGTGACACCACCCTTCAGTTACCTGGAAACTTGTGCTTGCTTACTGGGAAATTAGGAGTTGGGCCGTGGTAAGTCCGGCTGGCACTGAACCGGAGAGGTGGCCACTGCAAAGACACTCTTCCCAGAGAGGGCGCGCTCTCTCCACCCTGGCCCTCCCTCTCCCCACCTCCCCACCCCATTTCAGGGGGAGGGGAGGGGAATGCTAGGAGTTGATCTGTCCTTCCAGGAAAATGGTGACGTTTCTCCAGACCTGCCGGCCTGGCTGAAGGTGAACTTGGCCCTGGAAAGGTTTGTTTTGTAAATTAATAACATGAGCAGGAGTGTAGGGAAAACTTTAACCTAGCACACAGAATAATATTAGGGAGTCAAACTCCATGAAAAGGGAAGGACAGCGACCACGTGTGCCTGTTTATCTCCAGAGAATCCCGACTGACAGAGAGGATGGGGTTTCTGTCCTGAGCCCACTCGCCATTGTTTGAGTCTCTACAGACTGTTTAATCCTCATGTATTATCTTTGTGATTCATCCAAGAAAATAAAATAGCAGGGAAGAATATATAACTGTGTAAAGCCAGACAGTCCAAGTTCAAATCCAGTATCTAGATTCAACTCTGTAGAAAGAATTTCATAACAAATGTCATCCTCAAATCCAGAGACATCCTCCAAATTAGTCTAATGTAGGACGGTTTTTTGTATCAGTTCAGCCACTCCCAGGGAACACAAGGGTAGACTAACAGTAGGTTGGGGTTGGAGCTTCTGAAGTCCACAGTTTTCTCCGCACTGTCTCGGTCAGGAAATGCAGACTTAAAAGTCAGAAAGTGAGGGGCCTGTGGCCTAGCATTCAGGGGTTTTTCGTTTTTTATGTGCATTGGGTTGTTTTTGCTTGCATGTTTGTGTGAGGGGCTTGGATCCCCTGGAACTGGAGCTGCAGACAGTTGTGAGCTGCCATGTGGGTGCTGGGAATTGAACCTGGGTCCTTTGCAAGAGCAACCAGCGATCCCAATGCCTGAGCCATCTTTCCAGCCCTGGGGTTCAAGTTTAAGCAAACCTTTTTTTTTTTTTTTTCAGAGCTGTCTTAGACACATGATTTTATAAGCATGACTCCACACAGCTTGGTGTAGCTGGTCCAATGGCCATGTTAGGAAACGAGGCCAAACTGGTCCAACAGAGAGCCCAGTTTGCCAAGGAGAAAGAAAGGTGGTTATTGAACTAATGTCTCAGTTCAAGGTATATCCTCTTCAGGTCAGGGAGATAAACTCAACTGTAGCTAGAGGTTTTCTGGTCCTGCCTGGCCCACGGTCAGGACAAATCTCTCTCACCCGCCAGTCCTGCAGCTGCTCAGACCCAACCAAGTAAACACAGAGACTTATATTGCTTACAAACTGTTTGGCCGTGGCAGGCTTCTTGATAACTGTTCTTATATCTTAAATTAACCTATTTCCATTCATCCATAAGTTGCCACGTGGCTCGTGACTTACCAGTATCTTACATGTTGGTTCTCATGGCAGTAGCTGGCTGCATCTTCCTGACTCAGCCTTCCTGTTCCCAGAATTCTCTCCTCTGCTTGTCCCACCTATACTTCCTGCCTGGCTACTGGCCAATCAGCGTTTTATTTATACAGAGCGATATCCACAGCACTCAACCGCTCAGGCCAGCCCAGGAAGAACCCTTGAGTGGAATCCTTGACCTGTCAGCACGGCCATCGGAAAGAAAAGATCAGATGGCGTGGATGACGGAGCCGACGATGATTTCTCTGAGTTCATCTGTTAACCTAACCACTAGGCCACTGCAGCATGGCTTGGAGATCAGAAACAGTCACCGGCATCTGTCACTGCAGGTGCCGCCGAGGTACGGGTTCCTGTGGTCCCTGGGAACACCAGAGTTTTAGACCGCTGAACTAGATCAACAGCAAGCTCAGTCACAGCTGTACCAGATGACAGCACTCAGTGCTGCCGCCCCCAAATATTGTCTGACATCTTGTTTTTAAAAATCGTGGTAAAATGTACCATTGCCATCATTTTGAAATGCATAGTTCAGGGGCTGGAGAGCTCTCAGTGGTTAAAAGCGATGGCTGCTCTTCCAATTCCCAGAACCCACATTGGGTGGCTCACCGCTATCTGAAGTGGAGGACCTTCAAGGGTGTCTTCCGTGCGCGCTCACGCACACACACACACATTCAAGGTTCGGTGGTATTTATCACATTCACACACACACGTTCAAGGTTCAGTAGTGTTTATCGCATTCACACACACACACACACACACACACACACACACACACACACACGTTCAAGGTTCGGTGGTATTTAGCACATTCACAGTTGTGCAGCCATCCCCAGGACTTGCAGAACTGAAATCTGATACCCATTTAAGTTTTCCCTCCCTTCCCCAGCCCCTGGCACCCACCCAAGTTGTGTTGCTTGCTTCAATGACTTTGACCTAAGGATTTTTTAAAGATGACTAAACTCTTTGTCTCTGTGTGCCTGTTTCACACACACAGTGGGAAAGAGGAGTAATAGATAGGGTGGAGCCACCCACCTCAGCCCTAGATGGTGACCTCCATCAACACTCTGGTGCATTTTCCCTCCTGTGGACTGGCTGCTCTTACTGTGGAAGGGACTGGGGGAGATAGATGCTCACTGGGCCTCAGGATCCTGTACCCCTCTTCTGAGCTCAGGGCTGAGCTGTGGGCATAGAAGCCAGGCTTCCATATTGAAAGCCAGTATCAAAAGATATTAAAGCTGGGTTATCTTGTGTTATGCTTCCCGGTAACTCATGGTCACATGGTCATTGGTTAGCTAGTTTTGAAACAGGGTTTCATGTACCCCAGACTAACCTTGAACTGGTCTTCCCGTTCAATCACACCTCTGGAGTGCTGTGATTGCAGGATGTACTGCCATGCCTGGCTTCGCGTGGTGATTTGCTTATTTAATGGCATTATTTGTATGGATATTCATCCTGGGACTCAGACACGGGGCAGTCAGGTTTCAGAGCTGAGCCTGCTGTGAGTGAGAGTGACGTGAAGTGGTGAGCTGAAATGTGGGGGCAGAGAACCTCACACTCAGGCAGAGGCAGCCCGGCAGCCTCTGGCCCTCTCCCTTCCCACACCTCTGTCTCCCCACTTCCTCCTTCACCGAGTACCGGCCCCAGCAGCCCCAAGACTGCCACATGGCAGGGCCTCCTCAGCTCCTTCTGCGTGGACCCTGGACCAAGTCCAGGACGGCCAAGTCCTTCCCTACGCCCAGCTTTCGGCTCAGAGGCCAACTTTTGGAGGAGGCTTTCTTAAGCAACTATTGACTTTCACTTTCACCCAAGGCAACCAGGTTGCAGATTAACTAGGGATGGAGAACTAACCCTGTGGGCAATGGGGGCTTGCTCCCCTGCAATTCCCGGGACACTGAAAGGACAATCCCCCCCCACCCCCCACCCCCCGTAGTTGCACAGACTTAGAGTTCTTCACCAAGTTATACATTTGCGATGAGTGTTTTCCCAGGTTGGTACATTATGAGATCGACTGAAGACAGAGCTTGTGTAGCCCAAGCTGGCTTTGAACTAGCTATGTGTAGTCAAAGATGACCTTGAATTTCTGTTCCCAACTCTCCCTCTGGAGTGCTGGGATTCCAGGCATGTATCACCAAACTCGATTGCAGGCAGTGCTGGAGAGCCAGCTCAGGGCTTCCCTCCCACTAGGTAAGCACTCTACCAACCAAGCTACATCCCAGCCTGTATCACAAGATTCTTCAAAGACCTCCTCTGAGGCTGTGGAAGGAGACACACACCCACCAAGCCCCGCCCCCTCTGTTCAGCATTGACCCTGGGGATACTTCCGGTGTGCCGTGGGGACAAGAGCAGAGACAGCCCTGAAGCCAAAAGAAATCCAGGAAGAACTCTCTGCCAAGAGTCACTGTCCTGAGTGGGTCTCACCAGAACTGCTGTGCTGGCCCAGGGTGTCCCATCATCTCTCCATGTCAGTCTCTAACCACGTCTCAGAGGCCCTGGGATGAAGGTGGTCCTCACATCCTCAGACTGCAGAATTTTTAAAAGTGACCCGCAGACAGCAGAGGGACTTTGCTTATGGCAGACGGAGCACAGCCCATGCCCACCCAAAGGTCCACCTTAAAGGAAAAACCCAAAGTCATGACAAATGTAAAGGTTTAAGGTGTAAATATCACCCCACCCTGGCAGAGTGACAAAGAGGGAGGCCTATGGAAGGACAGGGACCTTGCGTGCTCTTGCTGACGCTAGCTCCTGGGCTTGGCTTAGTGTGGAGAGCTGGGGACGGGGTGGACGGCCAGTGCGTGCTCCAGAGAGCCGTTCAGAATACTCGTGGAGGGTTCCTCAATTCTCTGTGGCTAATCTGTGGAAAACTCACAGAAAGGTGGCAAAAAGTTACTCACAATCTACCTCAAAGGTGACCACTCCAGATCTCTCTTGTGAGGTTTGGCCCTAAGGATTTCTCTAGTCGGATGGGTGATTTTTGTCACGAGCATGATACAAGTCCTCCTGGGCCCCTTGCCCTGTCCTTTTCAGTCACCCACTTCACCCCTCAGGATGTGAAAGGGGCCTCAGGTGGAAACCTCGGGCAGGCTGGGATTCCCTCCCAACTCGACCACTGCCCTCCCCTTTCCTAGAGTTGCCCCAGGAGCCCACAGAGAGCAGTAGCGCACAGCTCTGTCTCTCACTCCCCAGGAGGTGACTCCAGGCTGTGCATTGCCTTTGACGACAGCATCCATGTTCTTGGTGCCTATGGTCATAAGAAAAAACAATGGGAAGCAGTTACCCCATTTGTTAGTCAGATTTGCATTACTCAAACTGAGGGGGGAAAAAACGCTATCACGCAGCCTGATTTCACTGGTTTTAATTTATTTTTCACTGCTAGCTTGAGAAGCTACATTGCTAAGCCGTGGCAAACACTTCTGACATGGGCCTCAGGTCATAGTTACGAAAGCTGTTTTTCAGGAACTTGGCAGTAGTTCAAACAGGTAGAAATCACCTACCCTGGACTTGGGCTGCCCAGGTGCCTGGAAGGTCACCTTCTAACATCACAAGACCAAAACCTACACCCTCGGAACCCCATGACACCAACATTTTCTCTGTGCACCTCACAGGGGAGAGCAGTGAGGCTTGCGGGCAAATATGCAGACCACCAACACGTGTGTGCATCCCCCGCCCCGTTTTCTTCGGTCAAGAAAAGATGTCACGATATAGCCTGGGCTAATCCTGAACACGCTTCCCCACTGAAAGTGGCCGCACTCACTTCCTGCGGACACCTCCTGATCTGTCCTGACTCGCTGTGTGGTCACCACCCTCAGGTCCAGCACACGAGCTTCTCCAGGCCTTCCTCGGGGCACACGCCACTTGTTACCCTTCTTACGTCTTACACACGTGTCTGTGCATACCTAGACACACATTCACTCCCACCTTCCCCTCCCCTCCCGCTAGGAAGGACTGCCCATTAGAGAGGAACTTTGCTTCACTGCGGAGCCCTATTGCCACCAACTACCTCAGCCGCCAGTCAATAAATATTTGTTGAACAAACTAATGAAATCTCTCCTCCCACTTACAATGCTGTCTGTCCAGCTTCTACTTTCAATTTATAGGTGGACTATGGACTCAAAATTACAATATTATACCCTGGCGGTAATTAAAAAAAAAAAAAGAAAAGAAAAGATTAGAATCACCTCAAGTGGAGGTGGCTTTGTTTTAATCTGCTACCTGAATGTTCTGGATTCCAGTGCGTGTGTTGGGGGAGGGGATACAGTTCTTCCAGGGAGCAAAAGTCACTTGGAGGTTTTTCCAGTTGTGTCCTGTGCTGAGCAGACACACAGAGGGTTCTTGGGATTAGACCCTTGTACTCTCGACTCTCAGGGCGCATGCCCTCCAGGACAGCACTACTCTGGATCCCTTTTTTTTTTTTTTTTTTTTGGTGACAGGGTCTCTATGTACTATGTAGCCTTGGCTGTCCCAGAACTTGCTATGCACACCAAGCTGGCCTCGAACTCACAGAGATCCTCCTGCCTCTGCCTTCCAAGCGCTGGGATTAAAGGAATGGGCCACCACACCTGGCTTACTCCCCACGTTTAAAGATCTCTCTCTTTCCCTTCTGCAAGAAACAACAGCAGAACCAGCTGTGGTGACCACAGGGGGAGCATTTCACTGTGCCGTGTAGACCCACGGCCAGCTGTGGTGACCACAGGGGAGCATTTCACTGTGCCGTGTAGACCCACGGCCAGCTGTGATGACCACAGGGGAGCATTTCACTGTGACGTGTAGACCCACGGCCAGCTGTGGTGACCACAGGGGGAGCATTTCATTGTGACGTGTAGACCCACGGGCAGCTGCAGGGGCCACAGGGGGAGCATTTCACTGTGCCGCGTAGACCCACGGCCAGTTGCGGGGACCACGGGGGAGCATTTCACTGTGCCATGTAGACCCACAGCCAGCTGCGGGGACCACAGGGGGAGCATTTCACTGTGCCGTGTAGACCCACGGCCAGCTGTGGTGACCACGGGGGAGCATTTCACTGTGCCGTGTAGACCCACAGCCAGCTGTGGTGACCACAGGGGGAGCATTTCACTGTGCCGCGTAGACCCACAGCCAGCTGTGGTGACCACAGGGGAGCATTTCACTGTGCCGTGTAGACCCACGGCCAGCTGTGGTGACCACAGGGGGAGCATTTCACTGTGACGTGTAGACCCACGGCCAGTTGCGGGGACCACGGGGGAGCATTTCACTGTGCCGCGTAGACCCACGGCCAGTTGCGGGGACCACGGGGGAGCATTTCACTGTGCCGCGTAGACCCACAGCCAGCTGTGGTGACCACGGGGGAGCATTTCACTGTGCCGTGTAGACCCACAGCCAGCTGCGGGGACCACGGGGGAGCATTTTACTGTGCCGTGTAGACCCACAGCCAGCTGCGGGGACCACGGGGGAGCATTTTACTGTGCCGTGTAGACCCACGGCCAGCTGCGGGGACCAGCTCACAGACTGGGCTGCAGGGAAAGCAAACGCCAAGAAGGAAAGAAAAGGTGGGAAATTCGGGCACAAACCCCACACGTCTTGTGTTTTGATTGTGCTTTAAACAATCCACCAAGTGTGTCTGAGGCAGGCACCGATGGGCATTCACATTCCACCTTAAACAATCCACCAAGTGTGTCTGAGGCAGTCACCAATGGGCATTCACATTCCACCTTAAACAATCCACCAAGT